CAACATTGAGGTTTTCCTAGACCTGGAAGTCATTGGGGTTCTTGGAGCTACACTCCCTGAATGCATCATAGCTACGTGTGTTGCCCTGACCCTTTTTTGGATTCCACGACAGGTGGTGCCCTTTTGACGTCACCGGATTCCATGATTCTTTCGTGTATTGTATCTCCACTCGGTTCTTGAGAAGCTGTGGGTCCAGAATCTGCCGAATCTGCAGGCTTCGTACCGACGGTACAGCCAGCTCTCGTAGCTCGAAGACGGTCTGGACCGACAGTACAACGGTTCCGACAGTACAGCCCGGGGGGGAACTGGGAAATTGCGGGTGTTCAAATATTTTCAAGATCAATCAATACTTGTTCAATACTTGGTTACAAGCTATACTGCTATACTAAATATACTTAATATACTTATTCTATGTTTTTCCTTTCTGGGGTTTTGCTATGTATCTGGGGTTTTGGCTTGTGCCACAGCTGTGTACTGTAGTATCCAGAGTTTGGAGCATGCAGCTGGTGTAAAACATCATCAGCCAAATGCTCTTGCACAGTGTCAGCGCTCTTTGAAGTGCAAGTTCACTATACACTCGCAGTGCGCGCATTTCAACTAACAGGTTTTCTTGCATTTCAACTGAGTGGAAAAAACCGTTCCTGCAGGGAACAACATATTCTCACAGTATTGTGGGAATATGTATTATATATGCTAGATAGATATATATATATTTGGGGAATGTCGGTGTATGTTTTCACCCTCGTCCCCGTCGTTCGGTGGTGGCTCAAAAGCTTGGACTATACGGGCAGTGCCTGGGGCCCAGAAACGTTTATTGCGTGCGCAAAAACAATTGCTTTTGAGCCACCACCCCCAACATCCGGCAGCGGTGGCTGCCCTGCAAAGGTCTGGGCAGCATGGTTCCTCCCAACCTTGGTTGCAAGGCTGGGTGAATCAAGTTGCGTGGACCAGACAATCTCGAGTCGGGGTGGCTTCGGAAGAAGTATCTCTACACCCGGGCAGGTTCTCCCTGCATCTATCATCGGCCACCGTGGGGGTACTCAGCTGAAGTGCCCAAACTATTCCGCAAAATTTTGTTCGCAACACACTTTGTATTGTGGAAGTGTTGGCAAAATCCAGTGCACTTCACATGGACCGATTCATTGAACTTAACCACGCTCAAGGTGTTCATTCGTAACCCGTTGCATGCAGCAGTGGTGTTGGATTTTCCATTGAAGAACAGAACAATTTTTGATGATTTCTTTGCAGTCATCTTTCATTGAACCAGTAGCTGAGCAAGCAGCATCAAACAATGTTTCGTCGATCTTGGCTTTCTGCAGCTGTTTGGTGTGGGGGCTGCCCGCGGGAAGCTCGCAGGCGTGGTTGGTGTGGGGGTGATTGCACAAGTGAATGAAATTCAACCCCATCATTCTGCAAAATCAATCTCCGCCAGGCGGCGGTGGTATCCATCCCTGGCTTTCGTTCACCAGGCCTTGGCGCAACGGGTCTTTGTCGACCGTGGGTTCCTACTTTGTTTGTTGTTTGGGGTCTAGAACCCACCCACCGCACCAGGTTGCCTTCAGCGACGACTTGGTCATCCCTTTGCGCCATCCTAAATACCGTTTACACGTGTATTTAACATTGTGACATTGTTGAAAAACACGGGGTGTCGAGGTGTGCCTCATGTGGAGCCAGGCCATCATTCCGATGATTTCACGTCGCATGTTCTCATTCTAGTGACGTCTCATTCTAGTCTAGTGATTTGGCGGTTCAGGAGAGGAATCGAAGCCGCTCTAGATCCCGCTCTCCACTCGACGGAGTACCGCCCTTGAAACATTTTGGTAGTGGTCAGGAGCTGCAAAGGTTAAACATGAACACGGAGCATGAACGCAGCCCAACAAGGCCGTGGAAGAGGTCCGACCTGGATTTCACCGCCAGGCGCAGCTGTGAAACAAACGCGACGCCGTGAAACTGCTGCCTATCGTCTGCGTGAAACACTGCCATGCATAGTTTTGGCAGGATGCCATACTGGACTGGTCTCCTTTGTACTGTTCTCAGCAGCTTGTTCAGGGTGCGTTTTCTTGCATACGAACAATTGCCCAGGATTGATGATTTTGGACCATATCCATTGAGGCCCCGAAACCTATTTCCGAGTACGCCAGACACGGTTGCCGATTCTGATGCTTCTACTGTGGCTTGTTGTGATGAATCTTTTCTCGCACACAGGTTGCTCTAAATGAGTGGTTTGACCATGCCTGGTTTTGGTGACAAACACAAGTAACATCATATCTTGTATCTGAGTCATGAAATGAGGAAATGAAGCCTACCATTGGTGCTAACACCAAGAAGCGGGAGATCGCTGCTCTTGAAGCCCAAGACATTCTGGCCAGGGTCCCAACGCACAACATGATGTATAGTGCCCAGGGTTCACGACATGTTGCATGATATGTGCAGCTGCACTGCACCTCTGATGAGGATGACCATGTCCACCGAACCGCTTTTGCTAGCACGGTGCTCACAGAAGCCTTTTCCTCAGTCATGTCGAGCAGCGCCCACTATATGAGCGAACTGTAAAGAGCTGTGCTGTTGAGGATGTTGGGGATGCTGTATAAACATATTTTGTCATGTGGATGTTTCATACAAAATAGGTCTATCCAACAATAGCTTTATACAAATAATATCAGATTTGTTCACTGGCAAGTTTTCATTCATTTAGCCCGCAATGCAACGTTCGCCGCTTTGAGGTCAAGACCTTGTTGCATCGGCCGTACTCTTTGGAGCTTCCTGTCAAGGCTTTGCGTCGGGCATCGCTTATGTTGTCGGAAGCTGAAATTCAAATGGAAGCGGGCGAATATGACCCAGAGTTTATTTTGAGCTTGTCGCGAAGGACGACGCTCAACTTTGATCCATCCTTTGACTCAAATGGGTCTGACTAGTGTTTCTTTGACGCCTTGGGGATCCATGCAGGGTGGTGTGCAATGGAAAACTGTTCACGTCCAACCCGCTTCAGAAGAATGCTTCACACAGTTTTGGAAGCTACTCCGTAAAGCATTTTGCTTCTGTGTCATTTTCCATGTCAGACATCTTGCTCAGAGCTTTTTCTAGCCGTTTCCATGCCTCTGAGCGACATCGAGGACCTCAGTGAGCCTGGACCTAAATTGCCAGTTCTTCTAGGATTCGATGAACGCTTTTTAGAACAGCCATGTAACATGTATGTGAATATCTATAGATGACCACTCTGAGTTGCCCTGTGAAGGCTGTGATGAAGGCTACCCATGCATTCCCAGTTCACTTAAGTCTTTTATTCTTGAGTTGCAACTGTTACAGCCTGCAGGCTCCTTCGACCAAAAATCCCAAGTTCGGAAGCCTCAACCACAAGCGCGGTCAGGTGACGGCATGGCGACCTAAGTGTTTCCCACTGAAACCACGGAGAAAGTTGGACATCATCTTGGCCACCTGGTTGAAAGGTTGGTTTCTTCAACTGTTTCTTCAACAACACCTCGACAAACACACCAATCAAGAAGTCATCATCGGGCACTTTCGGCACTACTTTCGGGCTTCCATAGTTGAATTGGCCGCCCAAGGCTTGCAAGAAGCCGAAGAAAGGCGATTCCGTGAAGACTAAAAATGGACTCGCCCCGGGAAAGACCATGAAGCTCACCTCATGGGGGACAATCCGCCAGGGTCCCAACTCATGGACATATGCGCCACATATTCACCCCCAACCGCTTTTGGCTATCCAAGCTCGCTGCTCACTGCAGGTTGTTTCTCCGCGACGACCTCAGCGAACACCAAGTACTTGAGCGTCAGAGGGTCGAAGGACCGCTGCATGTTGCCAGTCAAACTCTCCCTATTACAAAGTGTTGACGATCTTTGACGATCAAACCCTTTGCCACTCAGGACTTCGCGACTCAGGTATTCCATTCCCAACCGTACAGCTCTGCCTGCCAGAGCGCAGGTGTTGAGAAGGGACGTTTCGTCTCCCCTGAGTGTGGAGAGCATATGGCCGGTCTTCGACTCAGCGTTCAAGGGAACCCAACAGTTCAACCCAGCACTTCAACCCACCGCTTCAACCAATTGGCTTCAGGATTGCCTATTCACTGGTCCAATCCCAAGACTGGCTTGGTTGACATGGACCTCAGCAAGGCTTTCCCTTGGATGTCGGAAGTTGAGGCCTAGTGGGTGAGTTTTATGAGCTGGAGTCAACTTGCCAAAGTCTAGAGTGAACTTATTGTAATATATATATATATATCATATCGTGTTTTTGCGTGAACATATCATATTCCTGTCTCAGGCCCCCAGAAAGCACAAAGCTGTGAGCCTTTTTGCGGGGATCTTGGGGTTGGACCTCGCGATCATGCCGTTGGGTTCTCAGGCATTGAAGTTCTGAGGCAATTGCAAGGTTGGGTGAATTGACTTGGTGGTGAGGTATGCAGAATCCGTGGCCTTCGCACGATCCTCAAACTCTTAAGTTGAAATTCTGTGGGCATCTCCCCAACCTTCCTATGGCTTTGATAAGGTAGAACGTGATCCGTTCTGCCAGAAGGTGATTTCCGGCAGAATCCAGGACGGTTTTTACAAGTCTTCTTGCACCATCCACGACAACGTGGAGACCTTCGAACTGAAGCATCTTAAGGGGTCTGATTCGGTGAACGGCCTCCACGGAGGCTTCCCATGTCAGGCTGGACTGACAGTCCTTTAGAAACACGTTTCATGCAAAAAACTTGTGGTTCATGTGTGGCGGGGTGCAAAACCCGTGCCAGGGATGCAGCCGGGCTGGCCTGAAGAAAGGCATGTCGGACAGCCGCACCAAGCTCCTGGAACATTTCTGGCGTTTGTTTGACTCACATGCCCGACTGACCCTAGATGGCATGAGAGCGGCAGCAATTTCTTCATTAAGCTGTTTGGCCTTTTGCTGAATTTATTTCTAATTTACATGGTTCCCCAGGAAATGGATGCTTTTGGAGAACGTCGGCAACGTCCTCACGATGATTGATGTCATGAATTGCATCACGGAGGACCCTGGTAGTTTATATCCACACGTCACTCTTTCTACTTCTCCTTTCTGGCAGAACTGCAAGAAGCGAGACCTACTGCTGCGGTGGGTCACTCTCACGGGTTACGATGCAGGTGGTGAGGTGTTCACCTTAGACTCACATGCAACTGGGGTCCCAAAGGAGCTTTTTTTGGAGGTTTTTTGTCCATCTGCAGTTCCTGTGTTTCTTTTTTCACACCTTGCGGTAGGTGTGGCGTCAGCGGACGTTCTTCCTCGTTTGCAAGAAGAATTTCAAGTTCTTCCAGGTGCCCCGTGGCCATCTCTTACCGTTGACGCTCTATGACGTGAGTTCTTCCGTGTATTCTTACTACATGTTCTTCCGTGTGTTCTTGTATGTGTGTCTCGTATCTGTGCCTTCTAAACCTTTCATATGTGTTCATATTTCTTTCATATGGCCGACAGGGCATGAGCCTGCTGGATGAAGATGTTCTGAAGTCTTGGCCCCAACGGCCCTGGCATGTGAAATCCCGTCCGAGCCTTCACAAGTGGCTCCAAGCTGCACAGAGCTTGGAGGACAAGAGTCGCCTCGCTTGCATAGGAAACATCGTAATGCCGGACGTCGGCTTCTTGGCTTTGCAGCTGCTGGGTCATCAAGAGAGAGCCGAAGGCTAGATAAATCTCTTTTGCACAGCAGTGGGAAAATTAGATTCCTGCCCACTGATACCAATTCAGCAGGTTTGGATATGGGGGTTCGTCGCACTGATGCGCCAAAAAGGTGGCAACGGTCCATGTTCATGTGCAAATGGTTTCTTTGGATATCAACACAAGATGTACACAGTGCAAGTGTTTTCTTGTACACGATGCTGGTGTAGTCATTCTCAACACAAGAGTTTTGGCTCCCCGCTTCCAGCCGCGGACTCTGGCGGCGGCCTGGCAATCCACAGGAAGCGCTGCCGTCCTGTTTGAATGTCCACTGTTCATATTTCTTCACCCATTCTTGGTAGTTGTGGACAAGAAGTTTGCGTCAACGGTTCACCATTGTCGTTCACCTTTGTCGTTACTCCGGTTTCAGGTGTTTCACCAGCTGTGGGGGGTTGAAAGAACACACACTAATATAATCTAATATATTCTAATATACATGTAACTATACATGTACAGGGTGAACGCCCTCTGCGTGATCAACGATTCAATCCAAGTTTCATGCATATCTTATCTTACATAATATGCAAATGACTCATGGTTCCCATTTCATTGTTCCCATCGCCTTGTGTCGGAGCATGGCCAATCCCATTCGCGAAGACAATGGCTCTTGATTGAACCCACCTTGGAGGACTGGTCTTTTTGATAGGCATCGACAAATCGAAACGGGTTTTGAACATCAACAACATCAACATGTGCTGAACCCATGCAGTGTTCAGGTGGGGCCACCTTTTCTTGCCAATGACATCTTCAATCCTTCCAAATGTGCAGGCGCTTAGTGATGATGAGGCCTCACCTGTTCCGTCCGACCGGGCGCCCACACAACCGATCGCTGGGGTCGCGCGTCGTCAACCTGCCAAGCGCAAGCAGAAGGCAATTGTGACCGTCAAGCATGTGGATGGCCGTGCTTTGAGGCACAAGGTCGACGGCCCTTGCGGCTGTCTTTGCCAGTGCTTCGTTCCTTTTTAGAACCGTGCACACCTTTGATCAGTTGCACAAGGTCCGAAAGGACTTGATCGGGTTGGACAAGGTGGAACAGGACACCTACGCCTAGCCCTCAATGATTTCCAATCTCTAGCAATGGGAAACAAAGATTGGTCAAGAGAACTTCAGCTTTGATTTGGTCTCCCTAGCCCTAGCGTTCTCGTGCTAAGATCTTCAACCTTCTGAAGGGATGTGATCCTGGCTGTCGAGGAGCCCGGCGCCTGTCGTTGTTGGGGCAGTCAGTGTGCATCAAAGGATATATGAAATTGTTGGGCGTTGGAAAGCATCGATTTGCCACCATTTCTAAAGCGGTCAATGAGGGCCAAGACAGGTGTCCTTTGGATCAGCGATTCTTGCCAAAAGAAAAACCACCTCAGAGCGTGAAACGGCAAGCAGTCTATGAGTATTTGCACTCTTTGTATGAGCAAGCAGCGGAGAGGCTTCCTGATGGAAATGCCTCACACTCCAACAAGCGCCCAAGACAGGGGCGGCACAAGTACGATGACGCAGAAATGTGTCGGAATGAGGTCCGACACCTACCCCCGGGAACCTTTATGGAGTACCTTCGCCTTTGCCGGCTGGAGCTCACTGATTTCAAGATCTCCCGACAACTATTTACTTCTGCCACAGCCTCAACAAATTGTTGGGTGGACTTGTAAGTGCGTGCGTGACGTACTCCAGTTTTGCTTGAATGAAATTGGCCCAAACCTCAATCGTTTTCCGGGAGCCAACGCTAAGGTCTGGATGGAAGACTTCCGGCACCGTTTGAGGATAAGGCAACAAGGTCACCACGCCCGCTGCTCGGTCTGCGTCCGACACCGGCTCATCATTCGCCGCTTAGGCCGTGGTCCGGCACGGCTGGCCCAGCTGGAACAGTACAAGGCCCATTTGGGCCGTCAGTATCGCGACCGACAAGTCTACTGGAGTCACAGAGCACGCAGCCGAAGTGAGGCCACGTCAGGAGCCCCTGTCACCCACGTCTCCATGATTTGCGCGACGGCATGGACCAAGCCAAACATGCATACCCCAAAGGGGAGGCCATCAATGCTAAGGAGTTCGCTTCGTGGGTGAGACCCCGCTTACAGGCTACGACCATCATTGCACACGGCCATGCGATCTTGGTCGGGCTCAGTCCACAAAACACTCTAGCGTCAGGTTCGAGGACCATGGAACTCGTAGCGTACATGATGACAAAGCAATTGCATTACATACACTGGCCAGCAGTATTTCTTCATTTGGAGGCTGACAACTGCAGCCGTGAGTTGAAGCATCAAACAGGTTTGCGCATGATGTCCACCCT